TGGACAGTCCATTCCAGTGGACAAGGATTATTGGACATGGACAGCTGCTCCAATTGAAATGATCGATGATCAGCAATTTATACTGTATATTATATAATAAATTTTGATATTTTGTTTATCAACTTTGATCATTCCCTAGATGGGAAAAGTCTCCCTTGAATTTTTTTCTCTAGGAATATATAAACCCTCTATTTTTTATACGTTAAAAAATCGTGCGGCCTTTCGCCCACCTCATTAATTGTAAATAACATTTAAAAAATTTTTTACGGCATTCTATATTGTAGTGCTGTATAATAAATTTCTCTTTTTTTTCCTTCACTTTTTAAACCATCGGTCTTTAGATTGCTCAATTTAATATTTTCATCCATTTGTCTCGCATTATTTTTTATCAACTTTCGTTAAAAATTTTTAAAATGGGAAAGCATAGGTTAACGGTTTATATAGAAGTATTAAATGAAATGGCAAATGCTTGTAACAAGTATGCTATATGTAGAGCATGTAAGACAAGAGTATCCCGCGAATATGCCTATGCAAATAAAATAGTAAATACAAAAAGGTGTGTTAAACGACATCTTCAAAAATGTGAGAATTTTTTTGCAATTCAAGGTAAAGAAAAAGGTGATGAAATACTAAATAATACAGATAGTGAGACTACTAAAGAATGTCAGAAAGCAAGTTTGAAAAATAAAAAAAGACCTCGTAAGTTATTTTTAAATTTGAAATATATACATATATTTAATTTTTAGAATATTTATAAATATGATTATTTTATTTAAAGGATTATCCGAAGATGTAACTGAACCTCAAGATTTAAATGATAATGAAATAGATGAAGAAAATGACAGTTTTTTTGATGATAGTATGTCAATCATTACTGTAGACTCCACAAATTCTAGTATTCAACGCGGTCCGATAGATAAATTTGCAATTCGAAAACCATCTAAATCACAAGAACGAAAATGGTGGTATGTGGTCTTAAAAGCAACAATTTCTAATGGGTGGAGTTTCCGTTGGGTAGAAAATAAAGATTCTCAAGAAATGTTTACATTTCTTAATCCAAATTTAAAACTTCCAACACGAAAACGATTAAGTGGTAAAATTCTAACTAATGCCAGCTTTGATATTACTTAAACAATTGAAAAAAAAGCAAAAATGGATGAGATTGGGGTGTCATTAACCTTAGATGGATGGACGAATGTAGTAAACCAAAATTTATTAGGTAGTGTTTTAATAACATCTGATGGTGATGTACTTGTTTGGAAAGCTGAAGATATAAGTGCAGATCGGAGTCGAAAAGAAGAAGTTCAAGAAAAGATTGAAGAATTAACTAATAGTGTAAAGAATGCTGGTATTAAGATTTCAGCAATTGTTACGGATAGTGCTTCACAATATGCAAGCTCCAGGTAAATTATAAAAAATGTAACTAAAAAAAAAATTTTAAAATAAAATTAATAAATTTTAAATTATTTATTAGACGTATACTTCAAATTCTCCATCCTGATATTACATATCTTCCATGTTTTGCCCATCAAGTTAATCTTTGTGTTGCTGATATTTTTAAAGAAAATGATAATTTTAATGAAGTTGCAAGAAATGCCAATAAAATTGCTACCTATTTTACTTCAAAACTGCATACATACTTCATTGGTAAACTTCGTGATGAACAGCAAGCTCAATATGAAAAATATATTAATTTAATTCCACCTGGTGATACTAGATGGAATAGTTATTATTATTGTTTTGGAAGTATTTTAAATTCTAAAGAAGCTTTAAAGGTATTTAATATTATTTCTATCATTGATTCACTATTAAATACTTATTTAATATAATTAAAATTTTAGACGCTTGTTGCAAAATATGAACCTCCTGATAGGCCAGAAGGATCTAGTTCAAGATTAAATCGAAATCAATTATATTTACCGGCAGATTTATGTAATCCGATAAATAATGATAATTTTTGGAAAATCGCAAGAATTTTAAAAGATTTACTTTTACCTTTATGTGGATGCTTAAATATCTTGCAAAGAGATAAAGCCCGCCTCTTTGAAGTTCTGCATTCTTTTGGCTATTTTTATGAAATTTTTAATAATATAGAAGATGAAAATTTCTCTACTCAAATGTGCAAACGTCTTCAAAACCGATGGAAAACTTGGGAACAGCCACTATTATTGCTTTCATTTATTCTTCATCCAGATTATCGATTTGAAAAATTTGATACAACATTACCTAATTTGAATTGGGTTGACTTTGGTCAGTGGCTAATCTATTATTATTGTGCTTGGGCCCAAAAAGAACCTGAAAATATTCTTCGTGAATTTGGATTATATCAGAATAAATCTTATCCTTTTAATAATGCAACTTGGCGACAATGGAATGGTGATATTTTACAATATTGGAAATGGTGTTCAAGTAAAACGAAAGAATTAGGTTTTGTTGCAATGCGAATTTTTAGTATATGTGTTAATGCAGCATCAGTTGAAAGATTGTGGTCTGCAATGGGTTTTTTACATTCATCTAGACGAAATCGGTTACACGTAAGTTTATATAATTTATTTTAAAAATAATTTTATTATATTTACTAATTTATTAACTAATTTATTTTTTTTATTTTTTAGTATAAAAAAGTGTTATCAATGGCACAAATTCGAGGAGTAATAAATCAAGCACATCGTAATCATGATCTTGAAATTTTTAAAAAAATGTATAATTCTACTTCAACAAAATCTTTAGATTCAGAATATAACGATAATTCAGAATATAACGATAATGATAATAATGATTCAGAATCTGATGATGATTCGGATTTAGAAGAAATTGAAAATGAAGCAAATACTAATAATCTAAAAAACTGGGAAGCTATATTAAGTTTATGGGATCGTATGTTAGAAGCAGAAAGTAAAGCTATTATAGAAGCTGAAAATGATAATATAAATTTAATTAATGATAGTTTTTATGATGAATCAGCTACTAGTTTTCTTACAAATCGTATCCATCCTCAAAGAGATAATAATGCGAAATGGATGTTAGATAACTTGTTTATTGTAAATCTGGGGCCTCCTAATTATATTGATCAGCTTTAAACTATCATTTACTAAGAATTAAATAATAAATATATGTTAAATGTTAAATAAATATAAAGTATTTATATAAATTTTTTGGACCGATCCAATTGGACATATTCCAGTCTGTCCAATTAAAAACTGGACTAGTCCACTGCCCAATAAAAAA